CCCCCCCCAACGACCACACCAAACTAGGCATCGTCCATCAATCAATCCCAAAGTCGCAAACTGTGGTACGCTACCTCCAAATGGGCCTGGTCTGGCCTGGCCTCAAACCACCAACTCCAGCCGTCCTCTGACAGGTATACCAATCTGATCGGGACCTCTTAAAACAGCCACAGCCCCCAGGCTTCACCTCTGCCGCAGACGCTGCGACAGCCCTCACCGTCGCTCTTCCACCAACGGAGCAGCTCCATTGTATCCGTATACGTAGCAGCATTTTCTCCCTCGGACATATCTCGTCTGGGCACCGCATTGACCGACCAACCTGCCAGCCAGACACAGTCGCCATCATCACCATGGACTTCACGGGCAACTTCCACTTCACGGCCGCCCAGCCATACCACCAGTTCATGCCCATCCCACCGCTGACCCCGTCACACTCGCATTCTGCACCATCCGACGATTTCAATGCGTCCTCACCTGTGAGTCGAGACTGATTCATGATCGACATTTGCGCGCTCTGCCCTGACTCCTCCCCACCCTTTCCACATCATGGAGGAGAGCTTGCTTGCTTGCTTGCTTACTTGCGCTCCCCGCCTTGCCTGAGCATTACCATAGCAATATAGTCATGCAGACCAGCCATGTGCGTACGTACGTAGCGGATGACTGACAACGACTGGACTCTGCAGGACAACTTTGATGGTCCTCCTCACCACAATGACCACCGATACAACGGCTTCGACTTTTCGCAACAGGGTTTCTCTCAGCCGCCTCCACAGCAGGCCTCGTCCAGCTTCACTGCAACAGCCGGAGGTCCTCCAACGCCTCCAGGCCAAGCCATCTTTGCACAACCGCGGCCGTCAGTGTCAGGCGCCCCTCCCACGAGCAATGGCATCAACGGAGCGAGCGACTATGGGAGCATTGAGCAGGCGGCCAGCGAGTTTGTCGCGCGGGCCAAGTCTGAGGTGGACGACCTCAGCAACGGGCGTGCAGGCAGCGAGGAGGAGAACATGACGCCCGCGCAGCAGAAGCGCAAGGCCCAGAACAGAGCTGCGTAGGTCGACACCCAACTGCCCCCTGCCTACGACCCATAAGCGGGCGTGACGACTGGAGACTAATGTACGGTCGGGCAGTCAGCGAGCGTTTCGCGAGCGAAAAGAGAAGCACGTCAAGGATCTCGAGGTCAAACTCGCCGAGCTCGAAAACAGCCAGCAGCGGTCCTCCGCCGAGAACGAGCGTTTACGACGCGACCTGCACAGGATGATGACAGAGAATGAGATTCTACGCGCGACATCAGGCAGCGTCACCGGGCCGCCGGCCTCCTCGCAACCGCCGGACCCCACGACGACGGGCCCCATGCGGTATAGCCCGACCGACTTTGCCTCGAATCTACTGTCCGGCCACAATAACCAGACCTTCTCCCATCGTATTGTGCAGACGGCCGATGGGCAGCGGTTACTTGCGGCCGGTGCGTCGTGGGACTATATCATCTCGCACGAGCTCTTCCAAAAGGGTCAGATTGACATTGGGAGCGTGAGCGAATATCTCAAGACACGGGCCCTGTGTGACGGCCAGGGGCCCGTGTTCTCCGAAAGGGACGTTGTCGATGCCATCCATGCAAGCGCGTCTCACGGATCCGATGATCTCTTGTGATGGGCGAAGCAGGTTTTATACTTACATCGGGGGCGCATTGTTGACATGCGCTGGGTCAAGAAATTGCGAGGGCTCCGGCGTTTTAGCATTGGTAGAATTAGGGCTTGGACATCAGCCCATGGTGGGCTTGTCTGTCCGTGACTTGGGAGTTCTTCGGGATACGTACATAATATCAGGAGTATATTTGAATGTGCAGCGGATGTGTGATGTAAGCGCGCTGTCTACATTTTGATTCATTGCAATGATTGTGTGTGAGGTGTTCAGCAGCAGGCGCAAGCAACAGCAGGAATGCGTAATGTGTCGTTAATCATGAAAATACGAAATGTTCTAGGTCCTACCAACGCCACCCCCCCTCAAAATCACTCTATCTATATAATCCAGCCCACACAACGAGTACTAGGGGCAGCCAAGTTCTTCAGTGCCGCTGGTCTCGTCTAACTGCCGCCCTGCGGTCTACCCAATCCGCGTCCTGGTCAGTTGGTCGCGCGTCACCTACCACACGCAAGTTCAGCTCATTGGGCCTTCTTGCTGTTCTCGTCCTGCCCTTCGACGTAAGGATGCTTGATGGTCAGACACCAGATGTCCAAGTAATCACAGATCGTTACGATCACGTCCACGACGAAGCTGCCGTACACTCCGACCGCTAGGCCTAGCATCATGAACATAAAGGCCACCTGGTACACGCCGTCGCCGAGCGCGCTCGGCCAGCCGAAGCCCAGGTGCTCCTGCAGGAACGGGCCCAGCGAGTCAAAGACGCCAAAGGTGAGCGGGATGCCGAGCACGTTCCAGAACGGGAACGGCAGCTTGACGAGATGTGCCGTGATCATCTGCCCGACGCTGTAGGCGTTGACGACGCCGGCAAAGACGACAAAGGGCACGAGGTGGTTGTGCAGGATGTTGGGCTGCAGGTACAGATATGACACAATCATGGCCCAGACGCTGAAGAAGGGCACGAGGCCAAAGAGCGCGTAGCGTGAGCGGTCGCCCTGGGCGCGGCGCGCGCGGATTACCGTGAGCGAGGACTCGTACGTGTTAAACGTGCAGACAATGGCGCCCTGCACCATGTTCCAGTCCACAAAGGACAGGTTGTAGATGGCGGACGGGATGCCGAGGTCGTCGGGCACGCCAAATGTCCGCAGCATGGACTGGTGCCAGATGTGGCCGCCGCCAAAGTAGCCCGTCATGGCGTAGACACCGACAAGGATGAGGACGCCCTCGACGGGTCCGTTGACGATGCCTAGCGTGAGGGTCTTGGTGTGATACTCCTCCCACGTCTGCACGTAAAAGGTGAAAAGGGCTTTGCTACCCGTCAGCAACCGTGTGTCAAAAGGGGGACCTCTCCTCTCCCGCAGATAGACTCACATGCAAAGAGCGTCGCGACCGTTCGCCAGCCCTGGCCCATGTTTTGTGACGCAGCAAAAATGAGAACGCCCAGTCCAGTATTCAGCGCATCCACTCCGTGATCAAAGAGCTCTCCCAAGGGGCCGGATTGTTTCGTCCTCCGCCTGTGACACTCGTCAGCCATGCGTTCCTATGAGACGATTTCGCGCTTCCGACTCACGCTTGCGATCCATCCACCGCGTCGAACGTCTGATAAAGAAACAGCCCAATAGCCCAGCTATAATACACCCAGCTCGGGCAGTCCTGGTCGAGCGTCGGACTGTACCATAGCACCGTCATCAAGTTGGCCACTATGAACATGAACCCCGTCAAGGTGATCAGGTTGGGCGCCATGCTCATCGGGAAGCACTTGATGACAACATTGGTGTAGAACGGCTTGAGGATATACTTGGACGTGAGCGACCGGTCGACGGCCGAGTACTTGTATTCCTTGAGAGCAGGCAGCTCCCGTTGTCGAACGTACACCATCGTGTTGGGCGCGAGCGAAGAGTCCTTTCCAAGCGCGGGTGTCTGCCTTGTAGTCGTCGGGTCACTCGTGTCTCCCCAGGACGTGAAATGCGTAACGCGACGCGGCTGGCTTTGGCGATGCCTTTGGTGAGGGAGGGGTGGATGGGCGTTGATGGGTCCGTGTGCTGGCTTCTCTGGAAAATTCCACCTTGCGCCAAACTGCGTTCAAGGGACCGACCCCGACTCGACTCACGCCTAACGTCATAGCTCGGACGTCATTGGCTCGGCAGCCACAGCCGACCACCACCACGAGACAACCCTCCATGGACGCTGACGGGATATTTATCGAGCAGTCTTTCCAAGTTAATTCATGTTACACCTCTGATTAAATTATTAGACCTGGCAACAAAATCAAGAATGCTGTTTTTCTTCTTCTTTAATCGCACTGTGGTATCTCGCCTACTCTTAATCACCGCCATGGTCCCTGTTCCTAGACCCCCATCCAACCCCGCTTCTCACGATAGAGCGACTCGCGACAAAAGTATACATCTCCCCCACGTATCGAGAAATCAAAATACAATGACCCAAGCTGAACTCTGCATGCAAGGTTCAAATACCCCGAACTCCATCCGTTTGCCTGACCAGCGTAATAATGTAGTTTGTTCCCTGCCGATATCGTCTTGCTGACATCCCCCGAAATTCTTGCTATGCCAAAGGCTAGGTGTACTGTACAGTCTATGAGCTGTTCCCATGTTGTTCCGGGCGAGCAGACTGCTGGTTGCTGCATTGGTGCTCGCGCCACTCCAGCAACGTCTGGAAGGCGGCGTTGAGAAGCGGCTGCGCGTGATCAGAAACTGGCATCTTCTTGGCCTCATCAATGCTGATGGGCAGATGCTGGTTCTCTGCTTTACCAGGTCGTCTGTCGCCAATCACCCCAAAAGAGTGCTCAAGTCGACGGAAGCGCGCGTCAACGACTGCCTCTGCGGTGGGCTTGCTCATGAAGCCAGATCCAGCATACCAGTAGGTGTACGTCAGGTCTTTGCGCGCCTGGATACTCGTGGCAGTGGGGTAGTTCGTGGCAGTTACCAGTCGAGAATCGCCAACGATGGGTTTGTCTGGATAAGACAGCGTCTGGTCAGCTTCTCCGTGATCTGTCATGGTCTGTTTATGGCTTTCGAAGTGGTAAGTAGGGTTCAGGTTGTAGGCATACTCAGGCTTGGGCAACGAATAGTCATAGAGCACGCTGGTGGCTACTGATTGAACAGTCGGGCTTTTTGAGTCCAAGACAGGGCATGGCGTGACGGAACGGCCCGTGGAAGGATCCCAATCATCCTCGGTATCCCGCAGGAGGCTGGAGGGACGGTGACTATTGTTGCCGCTGTCCCACTCAACACCGAGGGTTTGCCTCTGTGCCCGGGTTTGGAGAGCCTTGAGAGTGGACTCAAACGTGGAAGCGCGATACTGGCGTTGACCAGGAGGCCCAGCAGTCAGAGGTCGAGGAACTCCGGAGCCTTCTTGGAACCCAGACGTGGATTGTTTGTGGTTGTAACTGTTTGCAACATCATCCGGGCCGTCAAAGGGACACGGCACCGCCGTGTTGTTTGCCTGGCTGCTGTTAGTTCTTCCTGCGGCTGGAGCGGCTAGTTGCCTCGTAGTTGCATTGCCAACCTTTTTGGGCAATCCAATTGAGCCCAATTCAGTCTTTTTTGGAGACGAAGTGGGATGACCGTGGGCGCCAATGTTGAGGCTGGCTGGTTTCACGCCCTGCAGCGCCTTGCGAGCTCTCTTCTGACTGGGATTGGGATAGGAGGCCAGATTCTGGAGAGACTTGAATGTCATGCCAGTCAATGGGTCCATGTTGATGAACTCATCATCAGTGTTACTCTCGTCGCTATTATACAAAAGCGCAGGTCTCTCGCCGCCGTCAACGCTCGCTTCGACGTCGCGAGATGGTGCATTGATCGAGGGTAGCTCGCAGTCAAAAGACAGCTTCTGCGGGTAGACCTTGGCCATGGTGTGGTCTGTGTCGTTGAACAGAGCCGGGTTGACAGCGCGGTCGTAGTTTTGTTGCAAGGGCGAGTACTGCTCGGGGTTTGTTCTGATGGGAGAGCTGTTGGGCAACGGCAGAGCGGCTAAGAATGACTTGGGGAGCAGACTCAGGTCGGTCTGGTAGCCTCCCGCAGGCCACTTGGACAGGCGGCCGCGACGAACAGGAGCTTGAAGCGGTTGCACGGTACTTGGGTTGTAGATGGTCCCGGCCGTCGTATATGTGGGTTGTGTCTTTGCAACATTGCCAGAACTGACGGTTGAGAAACACGTCGCAGTGGAAGAAAACATTGTTTCCATCATAATGCTGCGGAAGGAAGAAACTGGTCGGTATGGCAACGAAATGGTGGATGAGCCGTGGAAGGTCCAAATCAGCTGTTTGCGTTGTAGGTGAAGGAGTTTTCGGTAGCTACCCATGGGCTCTTGAAAGAGTGGTGAGAAGAAATGTCAGGGAACGCTCAAGGCAGCTATCCCGTTATCAAATTGTAAAATGAACGAGAAAAGGCGAAGAGGAGGTTGAAAGTAGTAGTAGCCCTCCCAGCTCACATATCTCAGCCGAGAGTGAAGTGAGCCAAGACGCAGGGGAGACCAGACGAGCGTGAATTGAGGGCCGCAAGACAACGACTCGAGGCTGGCCTCGAGACTTTAATGCAGGAGCAGCTTGGGCTGCCTCTTTCCGTACAAAGAGCCAGTCACTCCAGCTCTAAACCTGTGCGGAAAGAGCGACCTACCTCGATCCGGGTCCTCGACCACAGAACAAGCAGAACAACACTGGCATTTGCTCTGCCGCAGACGATATATTTCTCCACCAAAAGTCTCGCTCCAGTCGGTTTCCCTTGACTCCAGCTTAGTTAGTCCCTGCCTCGGTTCGTCTCTTGAACGTTACCGATGCGACTGTGAAGTAGACTCGTGCAAGAGTCGTGGCAAGGCCCCGCGTAACGACCGTTGGTGGGTTTGTGAAGTGGCTCGCAGGTGGGAAAACATGTTCAGCAAGGTGACACCAGTAATTCCGATGAAAATTTCGCCTGACCAGACCAAATTTGAGCCGAGTTCGTTGCCGAGTAGATGTGTCGTATGATCTGGCGACACTGAAGTAGAGAGATGTATGCTGAGATACAAGGCCAGAGTATTTGCCAGTTGATCGCGGTCACTAATGCCCTCGGCGTGTTTATTGAAGACATGAGAACCGCAAAAACCAAAAAAAAAAAAAAAAAAAAAAAAAACGTTAACGTCCATTCCAGCTGTTTACTACCTTGACATTGGTCCGGCCCCCATAACCCATCGTCCAACTCTTTGTCCCTGCATTGCTGATCAACGGTATAGGACGTATAGACGCAAATGATAATAACTTTATTTTGGCCCAAGAATCCCCGAGAGAGCAAATTCGCCCGTTCAACGCATGTCCATATAACACACAGCATTCCCCAGCAGTCATCCGGCTCTATCAACGCAAACAAAAATGTGAAAAGAGAAGAAAGTGAAGGGTACCCAACCGGGAAAAAAAGAAATAGAGAGGGCCCAAGACTCAATGTGAGGTGAGAAGAGTCTAAACGTAGAGTATTCGTAAGGATGAGGCCAAGTAAGTGACAATGTCTCGCGGCGAAATGACGCTCCCGTACTGGGCGAAAGTTTCGGTAAAGGAACGTAGCCAAGGCAAGGCAGCTGGTGCATTTTGCTGCAAACTGGCAGCGTTATATTTGATCAAAATCGGGAGGGCCTGTGCACACGCGAAAAGTAAAGTAGAAGGCCAGCAATGCACAATCAGTCCCAGGCTCTAGAGCGGCCCAGTTGGGTAGGCACTCCCTGGGATCATGCCAGGAGCTCCGTGGAGACCTCCAGCCGTGGCGCTGGGCCCCCCACTACGAGGTCCAGGAATCTGGAAGTCGGGGTTGTCGAGTATCATGTCTTGACGCCGTTGTTGCTGGCGATGCGGTGGAGGCCCTCGGTGTTGGGGCATTGGAGGAGCCGGGTTCCATTGCGGGTTCACACCTCGTTGGGAGATCGACGTAAAGGTAGATCTCTCGGACTCGGCCGGACTACGCGCGCCACTGTTTTGCGCGTGCACATCCTCGTATATGGGCTCATTGCCATGAGGGTGCAGGAAACCCTGCTGCGGACCTTGTGTAGGCGCAGCGAACCGCGGATCAATATCTTCATAGTATTCTGCTTGGTCGTGTTGTGGCAAGGGCTGCGCCTGAAGAGGAGAATGTGTCCGTGGTGAGCTCCGCCCCTGGTCGTTCCAAGCCTGGCGAGCTGGGACAAACTGCTGTGGCCTGGGGAGCGTTAGTACCGGGCGGTATTGGCATGTAAAGTAAACTTACTCATCACTGCTGTACACGCTGCCGCTCATATACGTGTCGTGTCTGTCGGGAGATCGACCCTGCTGCAGTCCTACCATACCGGCAACATCTGAATCGTTGTCCCGCAACTGGCCGTTGTAGGGCCGATACCCCTGGTTGGGATTGGCAGGGACAGATGTTGCATCCATCTCGACAGCCTGACCCGGTCGCCCGTCGTTTGACATTGGGGGCGGAGACTCAGCCCGTGGCAAGTTGTAGGCTTCGGCACTGTTTCCCTGGTACCCTTCATAACCACCGGCGAGGTTCTGTGCCGACGACTCCGCACTCGGGTCAGTATAACCATTGGACATGCGGCGGCCAGGCTGCCCGTAGCCATCAGCAGGAGATGGACGCCGGTCATATTGACCAGCAAAACCAGGACCAGGCGGTGGCGGGTTTCGGCCACCTCGCATAGGACCTGGTCCATATCCTCCACGATGAGGTGGTGGAGGTCCATAACCGCCACGGCCTCCACGGCCACCACGGGGGGCATATCCGCCTCGACCTGGTGGGCCGTGGCCGCCTCTGCCTCTCAACGGTGCACCGTACATATCGAAACCGCCGCGGCCCGGGCCTTGACCACTCCGGCCTCCACGGTAGGCATGTTGTGAGCCTCTAGAGCGCATACTTTCCATAGAGGAACCTCTGGCCACGCCGTATGCATCGGTCGGTGCATTAACGGGTGTCCCGAACCTGTCGCGCGAAGCAGACCTCACAGGAGCGTTGATCCGAGTTGCTGAGTCGCTCAGTGTGGCAGCGTCACCCGGATGGCTCCGCTGGGGGCCAGCCGAAGGGCTCCGTTGCGTCAATGGAATATGTTCGTCGCTGACTTGGTCGTCCTTCTTGCGCTGCTCAAACGTGGCGAACGTGGGCAACGCGTCGGTGCCACCGTTGGCGCCACTGGACGAGACAGCAGGTGCCACGGTGAAGCCCATAGGCTTGGGGGGTTCGCGATTGTAGTAGTTCTCGCCACTCATTTCCGCATTCTCAGCAATCTTCTTTCTGCGAGTCTTGCGGCTGATGAGCGAGCGACGCATCATGCAAGTGACCACGCCGCTGATGGCCACCATGATGGTCGACGCAAGCACGATGTACGTGCCCCAGGCCATGTGCGGCATGAACAGAAGCACATCGACCACAAAGGCCGCCGCACAGACTAGGAAAGTAATGATGGTGAAGACGAACGAGGCCAGTAGGTATCGCGAGGAGTGAGAAGGCGCGTGAAAGTGCGACGTGACAGCGAGTATGAACATGATCAGGACCAGCAGGGCTGCGACCGGGTGAAGAATGAGGACCATGGACAGGGTGTCTCGCACACTGTTGGGCATGTCGAAAGCACTATTGTTATCCTTCAACTCGCTGTCTGCAAAGTATTAGCATCTATCCAAGGTAGAACGCTGGGAGAGGCTTGCCCGTGTCGTAGCCAATGCCCAGGCTCGTGCACGAGCCGTCGGGCTTGCAGTACCCGAGGACGCCAAATGTGAAGCCATCGAATGAACCGAGCGGGATGGAAGTAATAATGGGCGCTGAGAGCACAGAGAGGAGAAGCAACGCAAACGCTGCTGCCAGCACCACTGACAGCGGCGTGGAGGGTCGCAATCTCATGGCGATGGAGGCCCGTCAGGGCTGCGCACGTCGTCGAGGCGACAGCAGGCCGGATGCTATGTGGCGATGAATAGAAAGAAGATTCGGATTAAGTGAGAGGATTATTGTTGTATCGTTTGCCGCGTCGTCCTCATGTCGATCTGTGCTGCCGTCCTGGTACCAATCGTGCAAAGCGATCCGTGCGACCTGTGGCAGAAGCGTCGCGCTTCCTTGAGCCAGCGACCGAGCGAGCGTTGACTGGTACAACGCAGCGTCGCCCAAGGGTGATGAAATGAGCGGAACGGTGATCGACACCTTGTGCAGCCTCTGTCGCGATGAAGTTGTCGTCGCGAATGAGAGATAGGCGACAGTTCGAGCGCTGGGAGCCTGACTGGACTGGAGGTGGAGGAGACGGGTCAATGGGCGACAAAAGCCTGGAGTCGGGCGGCACAGGACCACAGACATGCACCAACTGGCTGGCGAGGGATTCTGGGCCTTGGCGCTGTGATGCAAGAGCTCAGAAGGGGAGCGAATGGAGATCCCCCGAAAGTGGATCGGGAAAGTACAGGTGGGTCAGGAACCCGACTCTTGGTGCGGGGGTCTAATCCTCTTCAGGCTAGCCTCCTCCCCTAGCGATGCACCACTGAAGCTGTAGACGCCAATCAGCCAGCTGCCACTGCATCCTATGCGATAACGTGGACAACGGCGCTGAGAAACCGGGAAACTAGGAAGCTTTCTGACTTGCGTGTCAAGGTGAAGATGGCTTTTACAGTCCGGCGCAGCCTTCATGCCGCGCCTGATCATCCGTAGGAAATCAGTTGTCGCATCGGGTAGGTAAATAAGCGAGGTACTGCTTGACCGTATTACAACCAGGCTTCATGTCCATCATGCGCAATGCCAATCCCTGCCAAGTCCTAGTACACGTAGACTAGTCTAGATATTAGTGACAACTCAGCCAATGTCCTATAACACCACTGAATTGACTTCTCTGCTCAATGTTTGTTACAACGAACACCAGCAACCAGGAAATGCATACATGTGGCTAGTGAACAAGCCGAGACAATGATGTCAAGAGACAAGTGAGGCAGGATCCGACTGGGTACTTTCCCTGTCTTGCAATTTCGGGCCAATTCCAGATAAGAAGAGGGGTCATGTCTTTCTAGTCGCCAAGGCAGCGATCATATCTGGTATCTGTCAGATGTGCAAGCATGTATCATGAACTGTGCAGCTGTCTCAACTCGTCGCCCTGCAAATCTTTTCCTGCTTTTTCCTTGCCTCTGCGCTCATCATGAGTGGTTCGACTCGTTGCGAGACGTTGATGCGACGACACAGCCATCGGGAATGGCCAAGCCGTGGCATTTGATGAGAGCGGAAACAAAAGTGGCACTACCAATGCCTTGGCGGACCTGCGGGCCGGCATGACGCATTCTGCATCCGTAACCGGTCGGCTGGAGCCTGGAGCCTGGCTCTCGCAACTTCGCAAGTCGCGACTCACAACCACGCGGCGGTTTCCGACTCATCAAGCACGCGATACCTACGGAGATCACAGTTGGGAACCGGTAATAAGCATGATTATTTCTTGAAACTCGGCTCCGTCAAAGACCGATACCTTCCAGCACACCTCGAACATTGTCGTGTCCTTATCCCACGCCGCCCTTCGCAACAGACACGTATCGATGTTGCGCCACTAAAGAAAGGCTTGCCTTTGTGTATAAGCACCGCTCACGGCACTGATTGCTCGATGTTGATGAGGACCTTTGCAAAGTGCTTCTTCTCCTTCAGCCGGCGGTAGGCATCCTTGGCATCTGCCAGGTCAAATACGACATCATCGACAGCCGGCTGGATCTTCTTCTCATCAATGAAGCGGTTGAGATCTTGAAACTGCCGGCGAGTGCCGGCGATGAAGCCTCGCACGATGCACGTGTGAGGCAACGCCAGGACCATGGGCACCGTCTCAGCGGATGCTGCCCCAACGGCGCCTATCAGGGATATGACACCCTCCGCGCGCACAGCTTTCAGCGAGTGCGCCAAGGTCTCGTTGCCTCCGACATCCAGAATGTGGTCGAATCCTCGCCCGTTCGGGGTCAGCGCACGGGCCTTTTGGCCCCAGATGTCGGCATCGGTGCGGTAGTTGAGCACAGCGACGGCGCCCAGGGCCTTCAGTCGAGATGCCCTCTCCTCCGTTGACGTGGTTGCCACGACATTGGCGCCAAACGCGACGGCGATCTGTACCGCCGCCACGCTCACACCACCTGTTCCCTGGATCAAAACCCACGACTCGGGTGTGAGCTTGCGGCTTTCGAGGCCAAAGTATGCGTTCCACGCCGTGACCCAGGTGGTGGTCAGCGTTGAGGCAGCAAGAAACTCCAACGTCTTAGGGGCATGAACCACTGCGTTCTGGTGAAAAACGCCGTGCGTTCGCAAAGTGCCGTCTGCGCCTTGGCCCATGGCTGAGGTAGCCTCGGCGAACGTAAATACCTTATCGTCACCGTCCCTATTCACGTCGGCATCGTTGTGGGTGACGACTCGATCGCCAACTTGAAATTTGACCACATCGGAACCGGCTGCCTTGATGATCCCCGCGCCGTCGCAGCCAGGGACGACGGGAGGCTTGATGGGGCCGTTGACGCCCTGGAGATATCAGTCAGATGTCTCTGCCTTTGGCGGGTTTTTATACGCACCATAGGTCCGGCAATGACCAGCTCCCGGTAGTTCAGGCTAGCAGCACGTAGCTCCACGAGCACCTCCTTTGGACCAAGGTCTGCAGCCGTGGGAATCGGGATGTTTTGCTGGAACTCAAGTGCGTTTTCAAAGCCGTCTTGGTTTGCGAGGATCCACTGAGAAGCCATGGTCAAGGATTACCACGTGGTATGAATGTCGAATGTTGCAAGCTGATGACTGTGTAGATGTCGCCATGCATCGACAACCGCAACTGACAACCGCTTTATATACATTAAGAAGCATCAAGGCGCGCTCTGCGATGTCATATCCATGCCCGCCTAGTCAAATTCCTACAATCCGCTTGACCATTGTCGTCTGGCGAGATTACACAATCATGTACATGAAAGAATCTCAATCTGAATATACAAGAATGGTTAGCCGATGTATTAAACGTATGTAGACCGCATAAGCAGCAGCGTGGCATGCAGCTTGGCACTCCACCAAAAATTGATTTTCCTATTCGAGTATGACCCTTCTCGCTGATCCCTATTAGTCAACGCTTACTTGTTCTCCATGGCTTACATAGGCTTCGCCCTCCCTCACCCCCCTTAGTACCTTTGAGTTGCAGAGAATCTCATTATCCAAAAACGGTTACCCAGAATGACACCAAGTAATTTTGTATTCCTCAACACGACAGGGGCGTCAAGTCTGTCGAAAAAGGCGGCTAAGCGAGTGAGGGGCCACGTCACAAAGACGAACTTTGCGAATCGAAGGCGACTCAAAGCAGAAGCAGATGCTAGCAAACCTGGAAAATCAACGCGCGCGGTGCAGAAGCTGGACTCGCCGTGCTCGCTCGAGACCCAGCTGTCAAGTAGTAGTCTGGCGATAGCGCTGTCCATCGCGACGTCCAAGGCTGACAAGCAGCACGCCGCCGAACTGCGTGGGTTCCGTCCCGTGTGGATGTCCCTGCCCATTGGTGAGCTAATTGAGTTGTCCAGTCAACGAATCCTGGTCCGTCATATTCCTTCACGACAGAAACCTGCCCGGGGACGAGCACGACAAGCTATGGCTGGACACGATGGCATCGGAGCCAGCCTTCGTCGAAGCTACCATGGCTACAGCCGTTCGGTATTGGTCGCCCGACTTGGAGTGCAAGTTGAGGTCAGAGATGCATTCACATAGAGCAACCGCCATGGTCATAAGTCGGGTCTCGTCCAACGACACGTACTCTAATGGGTTCTTTGGCGCTGTGCTGACCATGGCCCTGAGCGAGCGCATGGTGCGGAACGACGCAGCATGGGAAGTACACATGAATGGTCTCGCACAGACGATCAAGGCGCGGCAGGCTCATGGAATCGCTAGCTTACCGGCATTGTTCACGGATCTCATAATTCTGTAGGTCACCGGAGTTCTGAACGATGCAAGGCTGTGGCAACTAATCCTGGAGCAGCGACACCGTCAACAATATCATCGGCTTCCCCCGAGTGTACCATCCCAACCTCGTGGACCTCCTCGAGCACCACGCCGATGGAATCATCATCACTACGTCGGCATTGGCGTCCCACGTGGTGCTGCTCCGGAGAATGGTCCGCATGCACAGGCAGTACGGCTACAGACGGGACGAGGTCGATGCGATAGCAGGGATCTCTGAGATTATCTGTCAGCGCACCGTTGCGCTAGAAGCACACAGGAATCCGTACGTGAGATGCTCTGCCAAGGCCAATCGGTTGTTGTCCACTTTATCGTGGCCTCTTGAAGTGGATAAGAGCACGTGTGCCGCGCTGGCAGATGAGTTGAAGGCGGAAATGGAGAGTCTGCCCGGTAGATCGTGTTTTTTCATGGACTTGACTTCATGCCAGATCATTGTGGGAGCGATTACGTCTGCACCAGGCTCGGTGTCAAGAGCTTGGTTTATAGACAAGTTGAGTCGTGGTGTGCGAGGGATGCAGCAAAGGGGATGGGACAACGCGTACGAATTGCTGGAGACGGCGCTGGGGAATGACGAGGACCTGCTTGAGCGGTTTGCCATGTTGTGGGCAGAGATTTAACGGCTTACTTCTCCAGCATGATAACATTATAATAATAAGACATGCCACTGATCCTGATATTTGAATAGTCACCAGCAGCTTCGATGTTAACTCGGCAAGTGTACATAGGTCCCGGGTAGCCAACCATTATCAATTGACAGACGGAGACTCGGCTTCGGAATTAAATGGCGGGCAATTCCAATGCCGACTCGGGCCATGGACATACGTCATGGACCTGGACCTGAACCCTTGATAATTAATCAATTTTAGCTTTGCGTCTAGACCATTCCCTTAACCACCATCATCCCTTTCCGCTGATGACGAAGAAGCCCAACGGCAGCCACATGTTCCGCCAGAACATGTTAGGTGCCTCGCGGGGCCTCGCGCGCGCCATCCCTCGGCGGTGCCACGCGCAACCCAGTTCCATCGCCCTCATCCCCCGGCGATTTCAGTCGAGCGGTCCCTTCCAGCCCCTCCGACCACCGTCGCCCAGTGAGCTAGGTGCCCCCAAGGCAGCGAAGGAATACAAGAAGGGGCGGCGATGGGGGCGGAGACTGCTTCTTCTTGCAGGCGTCGGCGGCGTGGTCTATGTCGCTGACGGCCAGCTTTTCTCCTTTGGGCTGCTGCGCTCCGCGCGGACATTCTCCACGGGCCTGATTGTGGCGCTCGACTACAAGATGAACTTTCGGCCCAACCCCTGGGTGGGCGGCGACATTCAGGACCTGCACGCGCGAAGCGCCCGGCGCCTCTTCCACCTCCTGCAGGACAATGGCGGCCTCTACCTCAAGGTTGGCCAGGCGATTGCGATGCAGAGCGCGGTGCTGCCCCCGGAGTTCCAGAAGATGTTTGCGCAAATGTTTGACGATGCGCCGCAGGATGACTGGAAGGACGTGGAGGCAGTCATCCGAGAGGACTTTGGCAAGAGCGTCGAGGAGGTCTTTGGTGTCAGCTTCACCGGCAAGGAGGGATACGGCGTGATGGAGCGCAAGGCCAAGGCCAGCGCCAGCGTCGCACAGGTGCATTGGGCGAAGTTGACCGATGGCCGAGAGGTTGCGATCAAGGTGCAGAAGCGCGAGATTAGCAAGCAAAGATCCATGGATCTTTGGTCTTTCAAGTAAGTCGTGGTTAGGTTGTCCCCTCGTTTGATATGTGCTCACATGCGTCTAGGACTGTGACGTGGATCTACTCCAAATGGTTTGACATTCCTTACTACAAGCTTGTTCCCTTTATCATCGAGCGTCTAGAGCTAGAGATGGACTTTGAGAACGAGGCGCAGAACTCGGAGACGATGCGCGCGCTGATTCAGCAAGAGAAAAAGCTCAATGGCCGGGTGTACATTCCCACCGTCTACCCAGAGCTCACCTCGAAGAGAGTCTTGACGACGGAGTGGATAGAAGGTGTCAGACTGTGGGATAAGAAGACCTTGACCTCAAGGTGGCTAGGAGGGTATGGACAGGGGTCGCCAGGTGCCGGCAAGCCTCTACCGCCCGCTGATATGGATGCCCTGCGGAGGGAAGCGCGCACAAAGGCCTTGAACGAGAGTCTCAAGCCCAACCGTGACAGCTGGAAGGGACCGCGCGGCAAAGGTGGTCTCGGGGTCTCGACCAAGGAGGTCATGACGACCATGGTCGATCTGTTCTCGGCGCAGATCTACAAGTGGGGTGTTGTACACTGCGACCCCCATCCGGGCAACATCTTCATCCGACGTCTCCCCAGCGGCAAGGCAGAGCTCGTCCTGATCGACCACGGCCTCTATGTCTACCTGACGGACGAGTTCCGCCACCAGTACAGCGTGCTCTGGAAGGCACTCATGACGTTTGACAACAAGACGATTGCCGACGTGACGGAGAAATGGGGCATCAAGTCGCCCGACCTGTTCTCCACCGCCACTCTCCTGCGCCCGTACGAGGGGGGCGAGAAGATTGACGCCGGCATGGAGAACATGACACCGTCGGAACGGTCCTACGCCATTCAGCAGAAGATGAAGCAGGGCGTACGGGACATGCTGGCGGACGAGGACAAGTGGCCCAAGGAACTTCTCTTCCTGGGACGCAACATGCGCATCGTCCAAGGAAACAACCAGTACATGGGCTCGCCCGTGAACCGGCTGAAGATGATGGGAGAGTGGGCGAGCTCCAGTCTCTACCAGGACCCCAAGCTATCCTGGGACCACCGTCTGAGCAATGCCTTTCGACACTTGATCTTCAAGGTGGTCATGACGGCGTCCGACGTCGCTTTTTACTTCTACATGGCCAGGGCGTGGCTCGGTCTCGGCAGCAACATGGAAGACGCGATGGAGCAGCGCATGCGGGAGATGGCATCCGAGTACGGCGTCGAATTGCAAGGCGATGTCTTTGAGGGTTGATTAGAGTGTAGAGAGGGCATCTGCACATGCAGTCCCTCGGGCTTTGGTTTTTAACTCAGCTGGGCGTTTTGGGCACTGTGTCCTGGCAGGGGCTGTAGATAGCATACTGTATCTAGAAATATTATATCCACTCTGAGTCTCTGGCAAATCAACGAGAATCGTCAACGAGGTGCGACCGTGCGAGGCCCCTCTTCGGGATACGCAATTTATCGACCACGCGAGGTGTCAATTTTGTCAAAGAGCAATACCGGTACCCCGAGTGCAGATTGATTCGATGGGTGTAGTCTGTAGACGCGCCTGGGTGGGCCCAATCTGCAATATAAAGGGGCATCAGATTTCAGCTGCAGACACCAGGGGAGGGGGATGTGATTGGCGGGCTGAACCACGTCTCTGCGTTTCATGTTGGCAGCCATCTTGTGTCGCTTGTGGACGCTATAGCGGCTACGGGCTATAACAACGTCGTCGTAGGCACATTTCTTTGAGCAGCATTCGGAATGTTTCCATTGTGTTAGATACTTGAAACAAAACTGCCTGCAAAGCATGCGTAGACCCGGTGGCAACCACGAAAATGTTCGATGCCAATTTCGAGCCCAGCACGACGTGGTACAAGTACACCGCGAGAGGCTGCAGTGAGCCTATCTCGGTCCAGTGCTTGGGTACCTCAAATTGACAGCAAACCGGGCTTGGGACGAAATCGCTGGAGATTACCAGCGTCCCCGACTTCAACAATAGACAAGATGAAATAAAAGTAAAAGGCCACGATGGAGGGTCGAATCGTATAAGAAAGGTTCTGGAATCCGAAGCCATACAGATTGTTCGAGTCATTCCCCAGACGCTATCGTGCAACTAGTGAGACAGATTTGACGCTGTGTTTGTCAGAGACAGCCACGCGGTTGCGCTCTGTAACAATCGACAGCGCACGCCCTGAACGGCACTTGTAACCTGGGCTTGTGGATTGCAATCATGCAATCGTGGACCTCGACTACATAATTCCCATATCTATCTGCCCGACGAAACTACTGGAGCTTCAACAGGTCAATGATGACTGTGGAAAGCTTGGTTGGACCCTGCAGCCCGTCGCCCATGTGAGCGACGCCGGAAGCAGCTAGCCCCGGCCCTGTCGTGGCCCCGCTGGGCCGGGTTTGGACTGGTGCCGGACCTGGAGCCATTGGAGTCTGGAAGTGGAAGCTGTCTGGGGCCGCTTTCATTGTTGCCCAGGCCCAGGAGGCGCTGATCCTCCTCTGCCGTACCTCCAGTCGTGGACACTTCGACAGCCAAGAGTGCGTCCCTCTCCGTCAAGTCCAATCCTTCCCTTCATTCGTCCTGTCCAACAGCTGGCTGACGTCTCCTTTGCATACGAGGCTCTGCCGTTTGTGCGATTGACGACCTCTTTACTTCTTCACCTTACACGTTCCATTGTCGCTCGTTCGCTCACTCGCTACCTCTTGCTCAGGTCTCTCTCTCCGCGCAAGCAATAGGGGCTACTTACCAACTCCACGTCACCGCGACCGCGACTCCAAGACGAACGCGACCCAGGTCAGCGCACGATATCTGCGCTTCACATTTGCGCCTTCCTTCGTTCAGAGTCTCAGCAGAGAATCAACCAGCGCCTAACACGTTTTCTTCACGACCGACGGCCAGCCTGCGGCTACCTCTCGCGGCCAGAACAAATGAGCGAGTCCCAAGAAACTCGTCGACCTAGTTTCGGAATGTTGCTCAAACGCAGCAAGAGCGGCGAGTTTGGCAGCAAGGGCAGGAAGGCCCAGGCCCTTAGAGAGGCTGAGCTCGAGAGGCAGCGCGCCGCTGCTTCTCGCATTCCCCCCAAGCTGCCCGAGTTCGCCAATCACACCGAACAACTCTCAAAGTCCTTCGGCTCAGACTTGCGTCCCGATTCTTCCTACGATCAGTCGCCCAATGCGAGAGCCGTGGCCTCGGCGGTTCCCATCCCCCCCATCCCAGCCAACGCTTTCGACCCCTATGCTCGTACTGAGAGTATGGCCCATCGTGGCCGATATAGCTACGCCAGCAGCGCAGTCAGCACCATTAACAGCCCCAGGCGAGTCCGACGCAGAAAGGATCCCACGCCTTTCAAGTACGTCACATATCCCAACCTGTCGCACTCAACTGACTGACACCCTGCAGCATCCTGATTCTTGGCACGCGTGACTCGGGCAAGACGTCTTTCCTTGAGTTCCTCAAAACAGCCCTCGCCTTACCCGCCAAGAAGCGAACACACAAGGCAGAGGAGGATGATTTCAAAATGCCAGCCCCCAGCTCTGGCAACTTCATCCCCCACTTTTTGGAGACCGAAATGGACGGAGAGCGGATTGGCCTGACTCTGTGGGACTCAGAGGGCTTGGAGAAGAACGTCGTGGATTTGCAGCTTCGAGAGCTCAACTCATTCCTCGAAAGCAAGTTCGAAGAGACCTTTGCCGAGGAGATGAAGGTTGTGCGGTCCCCAGGCGTCCAAGACACCCACATCCACGCAGCCTTCCTTATTCTGGACCCCAGCAGGTTGGACAGAAATGTCGCCGCCAGTCGAAGTCTCGCCGGTCTCACAAACGGCCAGGCGCCACACATGCGCGTCGTCGGCTGTCTCGATGAGGACCTGGACATGCAGCTACTGCGTCTGCTCCAGGGCAAAACGACAGTCATCCCCGTCATTTCAAAAGCAGACACTGTGGCGACAAAGCATATGAACGTACTCAAGAAGGCTGTATGGGAAACCTTTAAGCAATGTAACCTGGACCCACTAGAGTCTCTTGGATTAGACGAGGATACTGATAGTGTGACTTCGAGTCGCATTGCGGAGGAGGATGAGGACGATGTCAGCAACGCGAGCGACCGGGCGCCAAAGTCCTCACCCCCTTCGTCGCCAAACTCCAAGCGACAGTCAACCCAGTCTATCCGCCGCCACAAGGCGCAGGAGGACTCGAAAGTGGACGAGACTCCTTTCTTGCCACTCTCGATTATCAGCCCTGATCTGTACGAGCCTGGTGTCGTCGGCCGACAATTTCCTTGGGGGTTCGCAGACCCGTACAACGAGGACCATTGTGACTTTACTCGCCTAAAGGAGGCCGTTTTCAGCGAGTGGCGTTCCGAGCTCCGCGAAGCCAGCAGGGAGCAGTGGTATGAGGGCTGGAGGACTAGTCGCCTCAAGCTGAATCAGCTGCCCCATCGCCGACGCTGAGCCAGGGATGCAACATTGTCGGCCTGTTGAGACGGCCACTTTTACGTTCCTTCGGTACCTGTTGCCGCGACATGGACCCCCCACCCCCCCCTTTTTTCTGGCGTGCATTGCACGTCTTTTTATTTTATTTTACAGCTATGATCAGCTCGCGGCATACCCCCTTTTCATGAAGTCCTTGCATTTTCTTTTTCCAAAAACGGCGGGCTCGGCTTGGCTTCCGACCTTTGCAGACGTCATGGCGCACCATTGCCCACGCTTCCCCTTCAGCCCGGCGTGTCTTGACTTTGGTCAAAACTCAAGCTTGCCCAGAGGCCACGGAACCTCTCGGGGTCTGGCAACTATCTGGACGTTCTTCGCGCCACACAATCTTTTCCATATTTTTTCTTCTCTCTTTTTACTACGTTTGGCGAGGCGAGTCCCGAATTCTTTGCATCAACTGCCACGGGGAAATATCTGGCAGGGTCCAGGAGTATGCGGCCAAGATCCGTGTTCAATGTGGCATTGAAATCTGTCCAGCGGGCCGAGACATTTGATACCCATATGGGAAACATACCTTTTTCCAGTTGTAGAGTAGTGCAGAATGGGATGTTTGACCCAAAAAAATTATACTCAATCATTTCCGGCAGCCATTTTAACATCGCCATTGCGCTGTTGCATTTGATAGTACTCGCCTATCACCCAAAATACTACTAGTAAAGGAACAGCCCCCCCTTATACACAATCTCTTTGCCCTTTGCAAATTTCCAGCTTTTCAAGACGCCCAGGATCGTGCCTCGAATTATCCGAAAATACCTACCTACGACTACCCCATCGCGTTTCGAACGCGTAAGCTGCTGCAAGATCCGTGTTGATGGGGTTATGATCCCCATCGACATGCTCCTCCCGTCGATATGGATTCTTGCCCTCTTTCTTGATCTTATCCTCAAGCGGCTGGGTCAGGGCAACCAGATCAAATCCGGGTGGCAGGAGCGTATCTGTCAGGAGATACTCCTTCTTCAAGTTGCGGGCCTTGTCACGACAGGCCCCCTGGAGATTCCAGCCCCCCTGATGATTCCGGCGGGGCTGGAACTCTTCTCTGTAATTTTCTTCTATGTCCTCCTTTATGGCCGCCCAACTAGCTTGATGTTTCGCCACCAGCTCGACGAGAATGGCCGTCTCTTTTTCATTCCACCTGGTACGCTGGCCAAAAGGCGAGCGTTGAGAACTGTGCGCGGATGCGGAACTGGAAGGGAATGACCGTGGTGGTGGCGGTGGCGGTGGGCGCTGTGAGGGCGCCGGCGGAGGAGGCATTGACGCCGATGCCATAGGGAGCGACCTCAGCTGGGTCTTGACGATGGCGGATCGATCCGGATTTGGCCGACGGCTATCCGTCTCGTACGGATCCTCATCGTCGTCGTCCACATGGTTTGCTGGAGGTAGACGGACATCCGTCTCGAACAGATCCTCGTCTTCATCGTCCACTACACTTGCTGGAGGCCGCCCGATAATGTCCACGTCCGTCAGGACGTCCACAGCGCGTCTGGGAGAAGGATAGCTGTCTCCTGCTGCTCGGACCGGAGATGAGAGGATGTTCGAAGTCTGGGCTTGCGTGTCGAATAACGTCGGTCTGTTGCAGGTAGTCCGTCAGCGCACCGTTGTAGTAAAGCAGATCGCATTGTAAATCACGTACCGTTCATCACCCACATCGCGCCATTGGCGGTGCGAGACTGTTATTTCCGACTGCGAATCAAGGTTCTCAGCTTCATCTAGAATGCGGTCCTCCACGGATCGACTTTGCGATCTGGACAGATCGTACGTGTCGAGCACCCATTTGCGGATCTCCGGGATGAACTTGTCCCTGTCGTATTTGACCCTCAGCGCCTCAGCGCGGTCCTGATTGGCGTCTTCCGCCTCCTCTGCTGTAGAGACGATATCCACAATTCTGGGGATGACCAGCTTCATTAATGTGTCGTTCGTGTCCCCGTGCTTGGAGGACAGGTCAATGAGAGGGCTGCCTGTGAGCAGGCTGTCGTAGTTGTCCTGGGTCAGGTGAGTGGCATCCTCTATATCGAAAAAGTACTGGGCGACAAGCTGTATAGCACCGACGTCCGGCCTGTCGGCCATTACTTCCACAACAAGCATAGTGCGGATGTTGAGGTGCAGCATGGTATTCTCCCTCTCGAGATCCCCAAAGGACCCGAACGGTTGGAACAGGCGCGCAAAGTTGACGTCGACGTGAGCGAGATAGATGGAAATGGATGATTCCTCCTCCTTTGGCTTTGCGCTGGGTGCCTCGTGCCAGTGCTGGATCATGTGGAGCAGATCTAGAGTGCACGCCAGATTTACCCTGCCCAGTTCCGCAGCAACAGTTCTCGGGTTGAGACCTATGTCGCCGACCTTGTCGATATCAACGAAGTACGACTGTTTACCGCAGACTCGCCCTTGGAAAAGGTCGAATAGCTCGCGCCTCAGCTCCAGTCTCTTGGAATGACCGCCATTGTCGGAGCTGCGAAATACCTCCACCAATTTGTGACACTGGTCCGCGAGCTCCTCAAACGCCACTTGCTTGCTCTCCAAGTCGGCCTCTTCTGACTCTTGCACTTTTCCTGCCTCCTCGTCGACAAATTCTTCTTCCATGTCGACGGCGGACGATGACTGTCGCTCGTCGTCGACAAACAAACCCTCCTCGTCTTGCGGGGCGGTGTTCACTTGAATTTCGAACTCGTCCCCTGAGTCCTGCATGGCGGATGACTCTGCTGGGTCGGCGAGTGTTGTCTGCGTTGGTTCAGGAGAGGAATCAGCAGCCTCAGAGGTCGCTGGAGCAAGGATCGAAAAGGCATGCGAAGCATGTGGTGCGTTGCGCCGATGCTCGAGGTAGGTCATGGTGACATTGCTGTCCCCGTCGTCTTCGGGCTGTGCTGAAGCCTGGGTTTTGGTGCGCTTTTGTTTATCGGCATAGGCGCTCTTCTGCGCCGCCGCCCTGCGCTTCCGTGCCTGATCTGACATTGTGAGGTGGTTTGACGCGATCACGTCGAGGCGTGTACCAACAGACGCGACATCTCCTAGATCGCCGTAAGATCTCAGCGTAGCCACTGCCCCACATACTTATGATAAGACGATACCTACTCTCTAACAGAAATACTTGATCCAAACTGGGGTCTCAGATACTTCTGCACGTCTCGGCAAAACTTCGGGTGCCTGTGGCTGTTTTTGAACAGATAAACCAACGCACCACAGAGCTCATGGAGAACGTCACGTAAATGATAAACATCCAGCCAAGGTTGGCCACAATCCAGTGCACGAGCGAGTATGAGGTTTGATGGCAATCATAAGATTCAGCGAGGCTGACCCTAACCCTAACCCTACAATTTGGGTAGCGACTGGGTTTCATTGGCTGGTCACAGTGACCCGCCTTTCCCGGACACGACGCGCTAGTGGGGTCTCGGCAATTGCCAGTCTAACCAACGGCCCAAACCTGGGTTTGGCGGCTTGACCACCGATTGATCGAGGTGCCCACAGAAAAGTGATCATCGCCCACGTCCCGGTCCCAACTTCCCGAGGTCAAAGTTCGAACACCAAGGGCCTGGCCAAACCTAGGTTTGGGCTGTTCCGGCGCTAGTTCGTATTAAGTGACACTGAAAGCTGAGCGGTCATCATATAATCATCATACATACTGTATAATCACATCTATGGTCATGCCATGCTCCATGTATGTTTCTAGGAAAGGCGTGTATCATTTCTGGTTTGACCGAACCTGACAATATGAATCGCTTTGGACTTCAATGCGCCTTCTTCGTCACAGGGGCAGGGTGATCCGGACCAAACATCCCGAGAAAGTAAGCTGAACGCATAGCAAACAAGAATACCTGGTGGCTTGTGAGTATAGGTTCCTGTGATAAAAGGCTCTCCATTCCCTGCAGAGGTACTCACCGTGAATGTGATGTTACCGCGTGTCATGGCATTCCACTCCTGAGGCCTCTTGAGCGTTTCTAGTCCCAAAGCATACGCAGTGAAAGCGACATGGCCAATGTCGCCCAACCACAAGGCAGTCAGATAGCCCCTGACCACTTTGGCCTCGGATGTTGTGCACAAGATTCCAATGCCCATGAAAGCCATCAGGAGGTACAAGTTCCCAAGCTGCCACGCGACGAGCATGTTGTTATCGTTGACCGGCACCACTCCCGCATTGGGGATTTGCTCGGCAATGAACCATGCTGGATCGATCACGACTCCGAGGAAACCTGCGACGCTGTACGTTCTATCGTCAGAGAGTTCTCGACAGAAATTGCATAGGGACCTACAGCGAAATTGGCTCAATGACGGAGAAGACAAGTCGCGGAAAGGTCGGAAGTAGCGAAGCCATGGTATGACGCAGCACAGGGCCGGCAATGGGTAAGGTTCCGAGGCAACGGGAAGTTCTTCTCTTTGACGGCCAATTGCCACATATGATGGTCCCACGGATGGTTCCTGAGGTCGGCTGCTAGACGCTGACTGTTGACACGGTGATGCCTACACCCCGCTTCGCCTATCGCGCGATAGGGCCAGAGACGCGCCGCAAACCGAGTACGCAGATTGTCGACAGCCTAATCGCCGGATAGAAAAATGTTGCGCCGAGGCTCGAGTGAATAATCAAAAGTTCTTTCGGCCAGTTCTGAGACGCGAGTGCTTCCGTCGTAGATCATGGACAGGGGGTCCAGGAGTGTTAGAGTTGTGTGCCCAAAACCGCGCAAACACTAACAGCTCAGCAGGGGTCACCGGATCACATGCGTGCGCACTTCCGTAGTGGCTTCGGTCCCTCGACACTTTTCATTAATTGACACTCATGCCACCAGCGTCAGAGACTGCTCGTCACGTACATTAGGGGTTTTTTCCCATTTTCTACATGGATTGACTTTCATACTTTAGTAGAGGCTGGTCTGCAAGGCTTGCCTGCATTAACCTCCTCCCTTTCCTCTCAAATGTTCGCCTGTCACATGGGAGCCTACCATGGCTTCGGCAAGTACAATCGAGCCACGGCTGATGCACATCCTGAATCAGCCCTCAGACGACGTAGACGTCTCTAGGCCATCGCACCTCTCTTCTCAAGGGGACACTCGACCAGATCCGTCCGATTACCCACCGCGATTACCCAAGCTCGACGACATCGTGGACACCACCCAGACAAGCTCTCGCGATGGCCCGAACGAGCTCCTCCCCAGACCGAGCGAACTCCTAGCCCTCGAAAACGCGAGCTATCGGACAGATAATAATCGACCGCGTCATGCGCATGACCTGTTCCAGGACACTCTGCCTGTCAAGCAGACTCCGGAAGAGATACCCCAGGAGGGTTCTCTGCCGTGGCTGCTGGGGAACGATGTTACACATACTCTTCCGTCGCTCGACAGCAATGGCGAGGGGTCATTTCATCCGAATCGCCAGCATGATGACTGGTTTGAACGACCCGGCAGCAACAAGCGCATACACTCCGGTCAACGACCACCCTGGCCTCAGCTGCCTGTATTGCAAAACTTCCCGCCCAGTCAGAAGCAGCCAAGTGGCCAGGATTCCAGTTTCCCGCCCATGATCGTGGGCATCGACTACAATCCGCCGCCCCAGAGCTCTGCGACGCTGCCTCGCATTCAATCATTTCCCTTGGATAATGCTGGTCCATTGCATTCCACGTCGCACCCCACGTCCCATCCCCCGTCTCGACCAACCTCACGTCATGGCCACGAACCAGCGGCGTTGTCGGATCCCGATGGCGGCAAGGCGAGAAAACGCGTCACAAGAAGAAGGCGGCAATGGACCAAAGAGGAGACGGACGACCTGCTACGTGGCATCTACAAGCATGGCATGGGGAAGTGGACGGATATCAAGAACGATCCTGACTTCACCTTCAAGGATCGATCAGCCGGGGACTTGAAGGACAGGTGTCGCACAGTTTGGCCTCGGAGTCATGACGACGATAACTCCGCGGGCGATGTCCCCTCAAGCACTCCGGCACCCGAAAAGCCAAGAAAGGGACTCTACGCAGAGAACATCCTCCATGACTCCGATACACCTAATTCACCAGGCGTTGTCACGCCTCCACGGGAAGATGATGCGCCAGTTCGAGTGAAGAAGAAGAGATCGCACCGGAGAGAACCGAAGGATCTCGAAGCACTAGAGCTTCGTGGGCCATTGAAACACGGAAATCGTCGACCTCGACGGCCATTCACGGATCAGGAAGACTCTGACATCAAGACGGGGTTGTTGAAGCATGGGTCACAGTGGACCAAGATCCGGAATGACCCAGAGCTGCATCTCCAGTCGCGGGCACCGACGGACCTCAGAGACCGAGTCCGCAACATGAGCAAGACCGTCTTCAAGGACTTTGACGAGAAGACGTTCGAGCACAAGCCTTCGATAATGATCGGCGGTAGTACCCTTGAGCCTACTATTGCGTTGCCGATCAACACATTGTTTCCGAAGAGGTGACACGGGCGGCGGTCATGCTGCCTCAGGGGCAGCCTTGTGGCCTGCGTTGTAAACAGTTTAGACTGTGTTCGTCAGTGTGTTTAGATACCCGAGGGGCACGGTTGCCCCCTGATTTGAGGTGAATGCAGATTGGGGCATGCGCTCATTTGGAATTGTAATATTCTCGCTCCGAGTTGTGATGTTGGTCGCTTCAGCTTCCGTAGGGTGACAGGAAACCCTTTCGGGACTACAGCACTGGCAAGATGTGATACTACGTAGTAAAGAACTCTTAGTAATCATGACTTTCGCGCAAGGAACAGCTCAGCTTACTTAGTGCTAGTTCCGCATGAATTTGACAGACATACTCTCTGCAACGGGAAGATGACCCATTGACTATAACATGAAAACGCAACGGTGTCACTTCTGTCTCAATTCCGCTGAAAGGCTGGGAGCCAACGTGACTTGGGGAAGTGGGGCAGATGGTTAAGTCTGCAATCTTATCAGCACGTGACCACGCATGCACATCTTGGAAATTCAGCGTGCTAGGGCAGAACCCCCACCCCGTTCGACTCTGCTCTCACGAAAAAGTTGTGGATTGCATTTCGCACCTCATCCTCACGACAACCGCCCAACACCTCACCAACCCGCCGACAAAGTAGCCCGTCGACAAAATGGCCCGCGGAATGTACGTGCAACCATTGGCGATGGCATTGCAGTCGATTTGATCAGCTGCGAATCGGCTGCAATCGCCGCAATGCCGCCTCGTCGCTTCCCAAGAATTATCACGATGCTGACCTCTTCTCTAGCAAGAAGCACCAGAAGCGCCTTAGTGCCCCCTCGCACTGGCTGCTGGACAAGCTGTCCGGCACCTACGCCCCCAAGGCGTCCGCCGGTCCCCACAAGCTGCGCGACTGCATGCCCCTGATCGTCTTCATCCGCAACCGCCTGAAGTACGCCCTCAACTACCGCGAGACCAAGTCGATCCTCACCCAGCGCCTGATCAAGGTCGACGGCAAGGTCCGCACCGACATGACCTACCCCGCCGGCTTCATGGACGTCATCACCATTGACAAGACGGGCGAGAACTTCCGTCTCGTCTACGACACCAAGGGCCGCTTCACCGTCCACCGCATCCAGAATGAGGAGGCCGAATACAAGCTCGGCAAGGTCAAGCGCGTCCAGCTCGGCCGTGGTGGAATCCCATTCTTGGTCACGCACGATGCGAGAACGTGAGTTCTGTCAGACATCATTCAGTCGTTGGATCAAGCTTTGGTCGATTCGGAGTCGAGTCCTATTTTCTTCTTCTTTTCTTTTCTTCGTCTTCCAACTCCATTGCACTCCAAGAGAAGGGAAATGAAGAATGAGAAGAGAAGGGGAAAAACAGACTATACATCGATGGAAGAGCGAAGCTTTATCCAAACGGCTGTATGTACCCCTCCACTCGACCCCCCATGCTGACTTTTGTGTTCTCTAGCATCCGCTACCCCGACCCCATGATCAAGGTCAACGACACCGTCAAGATTGACCTTGCCACAGGCAAGATCAGCGACTTCATCAAGTTCGACACTGGCGCCATTGCCATGGCCACCGGTGGTCGCAACATGGGTCGTGTCGGTGTCATCACCCACCGTGAGCGCCACGACGGAGGCTTCAACATTGTCCACATCAAGGACGCCATTGACAACTCGTTCGCCACCCGTGAGAGCAACGTTTTCGTCATCGGCCAGGAGAAGCCCTGGATCTCCCTGCCCAAGGGCAAGGGTGTCAAGCTCTCCATTGCCGAGGAGCGTGACCGCCGCCGTGCCCACGCCATTGCCAACTAAGATGCAAGTTGGTCTTTGGGTCTGTTTAGGTAATGGGGGTTTTCATACAAAAGAAAATCAATTAGGCATGAGGAAACCGGAGTCTCGGATTTGATGTTCACTTTTGATAGCCCTGACTAGTCGTAGAGATATGGTCAGCCTCACGAGGCATGAGAAAAGATACCTTGAACCACTTCCGACTCATCTTGGCCGTAGACAGTTTGAGGCTTTGTGGTGATGACTTGTGTGTGCAGTACTAGAAGCTGTCTAGCCTACCTGCCTTGGATTCCCATCAACTGCGCTCAGCATCCGAACTCTCAGCAGCCCCCAAGGAGACCTACCTGTCTCTCATAACGACCTTGCACACAGTGGTCCAGTTTCCGGGCGCCTGCGAGATGCTACGTCAACGGCAAACCGGTGCACCACGAGGAATTGATCGAGCTGTTTTGCGAAATTGGAATTCACCGGAGATGCTTGAGTTTGGGGAGGCAAATTGCGTTAGCGCCGCCGGTATTGTCGCTGCACGATCGAAATCATTGACATCTCACCATAGGAAACAACCCCCAAAGCTGGACCCTCATGCGTCATGCATACAGCAGACTGCAAAGAAACCCTGCGCTTCATCTTGAATCAAATCGCAGAATCAAACCTGGAGATTCGCATTTCAACATTGAACAATGGCGCCGATGAACCGGAGGACTGGCACGCGCTACGAGACGCACGGGGTCCGATGCCGCATATGTAGCACTGCAGCCACGAGCCACGAGCTTCCGAAAGGGTTACGGTTGGAAAAAGGCTTGACTAATGCTAATGCAGGAGAAGCCGAATGGAAATGGCGGACGCGGATTGAGTGGCATCCCACGCACGCACGTCCTGCGCGTCACTCACATCGGCTGCGACGCCTGCTCACGACTGGACGCCGCCAACGAGGACTTGACATCACCTTCTCACGCGACACACCTCTGTTTTTGGTCATAGTGGTGCAATTAGACGACGTGCGTGTCGGGTAGCGCCGATGGCTGACCGATGGTCATCCTCCATGGTCCATGGGGACCAAGGCAAGGCTCACCAAACCCGCTCTTTTCCGCCAACGGACATTTGTTGGTGTTAGTGAAGAGGGGCGCGCGGGCGACTCGTATTGTTGTTCGCCAGTATTGTCCTTTGGGATGCTGCTAGCATTCTTCTTTTGAGATCGACAGACCGAGCCTTGACCATCGCTCATCTCCGAGGGCGGTATTGCTTGTCACAGCATGGCGTAAAGTGTGGCAGGCACCACCACATCACGGGAATTCACTGTCGGTGTCCTTCTCGTCGACTCGTGACCGGCTTCACCCCACGCCGTATCCACATCCATGGCGTGCTCTAGGCTCCTCTAAACGAATCCTCATGAGGCAGCTGAAGCTTATTCGATGCATTCTTCCTTTTCTCACTTTTTTCTTCTTATTCTCACGCTGTTTGCGTTGCTCCATCTGACCTTGCCTCAACTGTGAGGCTGTCATCAGTTTCATCTACGTACCTGGTTTCAAACCCGACGAGAGCTCGGCTAGCACCGGGGTGAGAGACCAGCTCATGAGGGGCCGCACCGGACTTGGGGCGCTGCTCCGGCAGTCGTCTAGATCCCAAGGCACTTGGCGGTCGTTCTCTTCGAATTCTGCGCGTCTCTCCACAAAGCTAGGCGGCGTTGGTGCGCGGCAGGAAGGCGCAAGCAGCTCATGGTCAACACGAGGCGTGCTGGCCGTGGCCGGAACCGCTGGTGTCCTTGGCTGGGGCATTGCGCAAGTGTCGAAGAATGGCGAGGTGAATGGCAAGCCCGCCAAGGTACAAAAGCCTCGCTATGCGACTGTCAAGGAGATGGAAAAGGTGAGCCATCTGCTATCAAATCGCATGCCGCTACCCAGTAGTGCTGATTTGCTACCCAGGCCATCCAGAAGATAGCCGTCGAGTTGGGGGACGAGGACATTATCTCAACTGATCCAGAGGACCTGCACCGCCATGGGTACTCGGAATGGTCGACAGTGAACCCCGACACGCTGCCTGTGGCCGTAGCGTATCCTCACACCACGGAGCAAGTGTCCACGATTGCCAGGATCTGTCATGAGCACCGCATCCCCATCATCCCCTACTCGGGTGGCACGAGCCTTGAGGGCAACTTCACGGCACCGTATGGCGGCGTCAGTGTCGATTTTGCGTTTATGGACAAGATTGTCGAGTTTAACAAGGACGACATGGATGTTGTGGTACAGCCAAGCATAGGCTGGCAGGATCTGAACCAGCAGCTGGCGGACATGGATAGTGGACTCTTCTTTCCCGTGGACCCTGGTGAGTGGTGATGGTACAAAAGAATGGTTGGATCATGGTTTAACGCCGACAGGACCGACGGCCAAGATTGGCGGCATGATTGGCACCAACTGCTCGGGAACCAACGCTGTGCGCTATGGCACCATGAAGGATTGGGTTATCAATTTGACGGTCGTGCTCGCTGATGGGCGGGTCATCAAGACTCGTCGCAGGCCACGCAAGTGTTCTGCCGGCTACAACCTCAACAGTCTGTTTGTCGGTTCCGAGGGTACTCTGGGCTTAGTGACAGAGGCGACCCTCAAGCTCGCCATTGTGCCCGAGGACTATGCTGTCGCGGTCGTCAGCTTTCCGTCCATTCGCGACGCTGCGTCAGCTGCTGCCGGTGTGATGCAAGCTGGCGTACCCGTTGCTGCAATGGAGGTGATGGACGAGGTGCAGATGATGGTGATCAACAAGAGCGGTGCCACAGCGCCCCTGACATGGGATGAGCTGCCCACGCTCTTCTTCAAGTTCTCGGGCACAAAGGCTGCCGTAAAGGAACACATCTCTCTTGTCGACACCATCACAAAATCCAACAAGGGTGGCAACTTTCAGTTCGCAAAGGATGCGGCGGAGCAGAAGCTTCTCTGGTCAGCCCGGAAGGAGTCTCTCTGGTCCATGCTGTCTCTGAGGCAGGGCGACGAGGACGTCTGGAGCACGGATGTCGCAGTGCCCTTTAGCCGTCTCGCCGACATCATCGAGGTGAGCAAGAAGGAGATGGACGACCTCGGCCTTTTCGCCAGCATCCTCGGTCATATTGGCGATGGCAACTTTCACGAGAGCATCATGTACAACAAGAAGGACCCCGCGGAGCGCGCCAAAGTCGAGGCCTGCGTCAAGAACATGGTGAAGCGCGCGCTCAACATGGAAGGCACGTGTACTGGCGAGCATGGCATTGGCTGGGGCAAAAAGGAGTCCCTCTTTTGGGAAGTCGGGCCGGAGGTGCTCAGCGTCATGGGGGCGATCAAGAGCGCCCTCGATCCTCTCTGGCTGATGAATCCGGGCAAGATCATGGACGTCCCTGGGATGGAGAACAAATACAACCGCAACCATGGCGTCATGCCTGTTCGTGCGACGGCCAAGTCCGCTGGTATCGAGGGTCCCCTGGTGGAGGAGGAGCTCAAGGAACAGCTGGTCGAGGTCCATGGCGGGACTGCGGTTGCCGTGAGCAAAAGCACATAAGAGAAAGGTTATTGTTGTGGCTTCATATTTTTCGCTTGGGTACAATGGTGTTGTGCGATGGATGGAAAGCGATTCAACAGAGAAGGGGGCCTCGCGGCGTTTGAGAGCAGGCAAACAACTGAGAAGGATACTGGTAATGCAAACAGCTTGATCTTGCTCTGTGCTACCCTAATTCTGCCGAAGCGAAAACACCAAACACTGTTTGGGCATTGCCATCCGAAAACATTGGTTTGATTTCGATCCCATTGATACACATCAGCCGGTTTTTTGTTGCTGGAGATACCAATTCTGTTCATTGCTTTACTCAGGTGCCTTTCCTCTACGTACGTTTCTTGCCTAAACTCCCCCCCCCCCCCAAAATCCAGTGCTCCTTCCTGTGCCCTTGTTCACCCTTTTCCTCCCCCAGTCCTCTTCTTCGCTCAAGACTGTTCTCTCGTCAAATCCCTACATTGCCTTGTACACTACCCCAGCGTATCCTCTCATACTACCAATACAGTAAGCTCTGAAGGTCGAGTTCCTCCGTCAACAACCTTGACGTTCGACACTGTCACTTGTCTGCTTCGTCTCCAACAGAACCACTTTCGAACAAAATGCAATCTTCTTTTCAAGTTGATCGCAGAGTGAACATCTCCGTGTCCACCATGGGTCAGTATCGTCAATTGCGACGGGAACGATCACGCTAATACGCTATCAAGAGAGACACACACAACCTCAGAACGGCCACATTGATATCGGCAATGGCGAACAACATACCGAAATGATGTGCCAGAAGACTGAAGGTTTTGTGACACTGAGTCCTGAGCTATTTCCAAGGCATGTAGGCTCTATGCCGTGGCAGAAATGGCCCAGTCTCACCCTCGAACTCACGAGGCTGCCCAAGAACACCGAGACCCGCCATCTCTGGAAGTGGTTCAGCCGGGAGGGCAACATTGTTCATCTGCAGGTAATGCAGCAAGACGAGCGTCGCTCCAGCAGCCGTGCCCCCGAGGCCAGCGTCCGCTTCGAGCCTCCACCATCGAGAAACTTTTGGAACAACGGGGAGTATACCGTCACACATCCTCAAGAGAACACGGCTGTCAGGATCAAGATTCTCCCTCCTCGTCAAGATGCACAGCAATGGTCGTATGGTCCCTTCAGCCTCGATACAGCAGGCAATATTATCAGAATGACGGGCGCACTTGGCCATCAACACCCAATGCTTATTGCGCTCAAGCCGACGGGCATAGACTTTGGTGTCATGACGGGTCCAAACACTATGAACGCCATGAAGCGAGCTACACCGATGGAAGAGGAGCCTCTAGTCCTTGAGCTCGACACTCGACACAGAAAGCTGTGCATACAGTTTCCGCACAAGGCACGATTTCGGCACCAGAGCAGGAATACTCCCAATGGACCAATAATCTTCCGCGTCGAAGTGAACTTGGCCCAGATCAAGACAGCGTATCAGCTCAGAGACCCGAATGGGATGTCAACATCACTTGTTCTGCCTCTGACCCAGCCTCCACAGTACTTTTGGAGAAATGACGACCTGGGAATCACGATGGCAGATGCAGGTGAGTGTCGTTGGGGGAGACAGGACATCTGGTACCGCGCAACCCACATTGCTGGAGACATGACCATCAACAATCGGTACCCTATCTCTGTCAATGAGGCCATCCCAGATTCCGAACACATTGACATTGGTCGGTGGACTTGTTTTCGTTTTGTGCTTGACACAAACGATGCCACCAATCAGTTGACGAGGCAGTTCAAGTCAGTCTTGGAAGACTTCAACGTCCAGTATGTCGAGCACTTGGATCTCGAGGTCAAGTCCGGCCTCAAAGCCCCCATGTGGGCGCAGGTAGATCATCCACCCTCCCGCGCAGCAGCCTCACACAGCGAAGCGCTGGCGTCCCTCGGCATGCAGCACGTTTTCGATATTGACTTTGCCGTTCGTTACCAGCTCGAAGTGTGTATCTCCAAAGGCCTCATCAGCGACCACAACATCACTGAGGAGTTCCTCCAGAAGCTCTCCATTCAGTATAGAAGCCCAGACGAGTCACCAAACTGTGACCCCAGCAGAGCAAGGCAACGTCTGGAATGGCTCGTTGACCAGAACATCCGTTTAGAGGACCCCATGACGATCTTCACCAACCCAGACGCAGGAGCCTTCTACACCAGCAATAGACTGCCTCACTATTGCACGCTGGTTCGCAAAGCCGTCGTAACTCCCACCACAATTCATTTCAGCACGCCCGTCGCCGAAACATCGAATCGGGTCATGCGCAAGTATGACCTTATCCAGGATCGCTTTCTGCGCGTGCAATTTCTGGATGAGGGCGAGCAGGGCAGGATAGGCATTTACAGGCCACAGAACAAGGCCCTGTACACTCGGCTGGAACGCACCCTGTACCAGGGTGTTCAGATCGGCGATCGTCGCTACGAGTTCCTGGCGTTCGGAAGCTCCCAGCTTCGAGAGTGTGGCGCCTACTTCTTCTGCCCCACGGAGAGCGTTTCGTGCGACGATATCCGGAGATGGATGGGTAGTTTTGACCACATCAAGATCGTTGCTAAATACGCCGCGAGGCTAGGCCAGTGCTTTTCGACAACCAGAGAGATCAAGGGAATTCAAGTCCCACATATCGTCCGCGTTCCTGACATTGAAAGAAATGGCTACTGCTTCAGCGATGGTGTCGGTATCATCTCGCCTTTCCTGGCTCGCCTGATTGTCCAGGAGGTGGATATGGACGCCATGTCTGCCAATTGTTCGGCTTTCCAATTTCGTATGGGGGGCTGCAAGGGTGTGCTCACCGTCTGGCCCGAAGCAAAGGGGATGGAAGTGCACATACGCAACTCGCAGGAGAAGTTTACCACCAGCTTCCACGGCCTCGAAATCATCCGCTGCGCCAGATTAGCGACTGCCACCTTGAATCGACAGACGATTTCGATACTGGAGTGTCTTGGTGTGCCGACGGGGGCTTTCATGAACCTTCTTGATGATCAAATGCGGAAGTTCGAGGCAGCTCTGGGTGACAAGCAAGAGAACAAGCAGCAGGCGCTCAGTCTTTTGACGCAGTTTGTCGATGAGAACCAGACCACTCTGATCATGGCTGAGTTCCTGAAGTCAGATTTCATCGGCGATGGTATCCGAGAGCCGTTCGTGGCCAGCATCCTAAACCTGTGGAGGGCCTGGTCTTTGAAGCTTCTCAAGGAAAAGGCCCGTATCCATGTGCCACAGAGCGCATTCGTTCTTGGCTGCCTCGATGAGACAGGTACGCTGCGCGGGCATCGAACTGCTTGGGAGAAACCGTTCGTGAAGCAACAAGCAAGGTCGTACCCGAAGCAGGAGCGCACCCAGCTCCCCGAGATTTTCCTGCAGCTGTCTGACCCAAAGGTCCGTAACAAGTCGACGGTTGTGGAAGGAATCTGCATCGTGGGCCGGAATCCATCCCTGCACCCGGGAGATATTAGAGTTGTGCGAGCTGTAAATGTAGAGAAGCTGCAGCATCTCCGAGACGTGGTGGTCTTTCCCAGCACCGGCGATCGACCACTGCCCAACATGCTGTCTGGAGGAGACCTTGACGGAGACGACTACTTTGTCATCTGGGACCAGTCTTTAATTCCCAAAGAATGGCATGCCATCCCGATGAGCTTCGAAACTTCAGAGCCCAAGGTGGAAGACAAGGTGACCGTGGACGATCTTCGCGACTTTTTCGTTTCTTACATCCAGAACGATGTTCTACCTCTAGTGGCAGTGGCTCATCTCGGCCAGTCTGATGCGCAAAAGGAAGGGCCCAAGAGTGCGAGATGCCTAAGTCTCGCCGAGAAACATTCGTTGGCTGTGGACTTTCCCAAAACCGGCGTGCCTGTCGGATGGAGCACGGAACTTCAACCCAAGCAGTGGCCACATTTCATGGAGAAGAAGAGTCGATATCAATCGCAGAAAACCCTGGGAAAGATTTACGACAAGGTACAGGCGCATGCTGTCCACTTCCAGCCAGATTGGGAAGACGATTTTGACCGGAGGATCTTGGGTCGTTACGAATTCGAGGAAGAGACCCTCGACGCAGCGCGCAACGTCAAGAAGCAGTATGACACAGCAGTTCACCGCGTGTTGGCTCAGCACAAGGTCAAGACAGAATTCGAGCTGTGGACCGGTTTTGCCATGTCGAGGCCGGTGATCGGCAGCGACTACAAGCGCCAGGAGCACCTCGGGAAAGAGTACGACACGTTGCGACACAGGTTTCGGGACATGTGCTACACCGCGGCTGGTGGGCATGGTCCCGAGAAGATTGATCCCTTTGTGGCTGCCATGTACAAGGTGACGGAGATGGAGCTCAAGCAGACTCTGGAGAAACACCGCGAGAGCATGAGTGATGACTTGGCGAACGGTACGCTGCTTGTCAACACCATGGACGCCAGTGCGATACCTTTGGTGACATTCCCATGGATCTTCCCTCAAGTCATGATCCGCATCGCGCAGGGAACCGCCAAGTCGAAAATGCATAGCAAGGCTGGCACGCACAGGGAAACTCAACAGCCAGTGTACAAGGAAGGCAACACAAAGGCTGGCAGAGGACGATCAAAGACCGAAGCGGACGACGAGTGCAAGCCTTCTGAGGCGTTGGAGATTGCAGCCGGACATGTAGACGTCAAGCCGTCTGTCATACTCCCGCCTCCTGGTCCGGGAGTGGTCGACATGAACGGAGATATGCCTTCCAGCAACACCGCTGCGAATAGCGACGAAGATAGCAGCTCAGCTCACAAGGGGAAGGCCATGTCCGCATACACGACAAGCGCTTCGTACACTGTCGACAGTTGGCATGACGCAATGAACGGTGAGGCCAGTCCATCCGACAGTGGATCTAACAGCGAGGCTGAGTGCGAGGACGGAAAGGCATCGGCGATGGACAAGCTTGTTGTGATGGGGAACGGTAGTTGAATGTCCCCGGGCGGCGCATTGGGTAGATCTGGTGGGTAAGAGATTAAGGCTTTCCATAGGCAAACGAGCGGATCACAAATGATGGCCTTTCCATGCGCTCGTCGGTCATTCATTGTCTGTGTACGCAGATATCGGTGCGCAGGACCCATTTTTCCCCTTCAAGAACCTCCCGTCCTTCATGCTGCGGCGGTGCGTTAGCCTGCGGTCTGGCAGCAAGGTGAGCTCTGACAAACCAATAAGCAGTCATCGCCATGCTTGTGCAATAGAAGCATGCCAGTCTCCAATGGCACAGCGATCTCCTCCGAGGGCGTCTGCCGGTCATGGGTGTAGAACACCGTCTCGCCGCCCTCGCAGCCCTCGGCAGCTGACGTCAAGTACAGCAAGAGTGTCCACGTCGTCTTGGTCGATAGAGGTGGTCCTTCACGCTGCGGTAGTGTGACCATGTTTGAGTCGTCGTCTCATCGGTGTCAGTAAGCCGCTGTAGATGGGCGGGTGGTGTATCCTGTACGTACAGTGACAGTCAAAGTACTGCCCTTTTGAGTACCGATAGATGCGAATGTTGGGACTCAGTCCCACGACCTCGCCGCCCCTGCATACACGCTCTGGTCAGCTCATACATGGCAAAGCAAAAATAGTTGGGGATGTACGTACCACTCATCTTTCCAGTCGCCGTCGGCCACCACGTCCTTCAATCCCGTGTCCTCCCACAGCCTGCGCGCAAAGTCCGGGTCCTCCACCTGGAAGCGATCATTGACCCGGACGGCCTCGCCGCGCTTGGGCTTCCCGGGGGTCGTGACCAGCGGCAGGGTGCGCAGGAAGCTGACGTAGTCTCTGCACAGGGAGCGGGGGAAGAAGGAGGAGATCAGGGCGATCTTTTGGGTTTGGGGGTGATACTCTGGTTGCAGGTAGGCGACGGGGAGGGGAGGCTTAAAGGGCGGCCATGAGGGTGGTTTGGCTGGCGGTTGTTGCTGTGCTGAGGGTTTTGACTTGCTGAACTTGGAGGGTTTGGGCATGATGATGGTAGTGTTGCTTGCTTCAAGCTCTCCTTGAGTCTTGTCTGGGTGGTGGATGATGAGCCGTATGTCAGTCGTGTGGGTGAGCGTCCAGAAGCGGCCTGGGAAGCTCGTGGTCCTTTCCAAGTTATGAGTTGTCAATTTTGTATTACTTGTATGTGTTGGTCTGTTCGATTCTGCTATGTGTGATGCTGAGAGGAGCTGCCATGGATTGACGTTGGGTGGTCACGATTATGCTTGTATCCGAGCGAGATGCGATATCGACCTCCAGCCACATAAGGTATACTTACTTGGTGGTTGCTTCAAAAGTAGATATCTTTGGATTATGATGAGAGTGTATAAAATGAAAGTCATATAATGTATGAATTTTGTCCCCTTTGTGATTGTAGTGTTTGGCCTGAAAACATACCTACACAGACCACCTTCAACGTCAAGGTATATGCACATATCCAGTAGCGCGACCGCGCGTTGAAAGAATCTCAAGTGAAATTGAACATGCCGTCGCACCCCCACGACATTCAACATCCGAGCCCCAGCCTGGGCTCTTGTTCCAAAAGATGGTACTGGCACAGCTGATCCGCAGTGTCATTGACCCCGAGGGCAAACTCGATGCCAAACCGGCAGAGTCGCCCTCATCAACATCAACGCCTTCACCATCCCCCTCATCGTCTTCATCAGCATCTCCATCCCAGACCGCGAAACCACAGGCCCAGCAACCTCTGCGCTCGTATCGAGAGGACACGTACACACCAGGACAAAGACACTTTCGCCAACTATCCCTCCTCGTTCTGGGGTCCGCCTTCCTCTCCACCTCCATCTTCATCTCCCGGCGCTCCGTGGTGCGCCTCCAAAAGTCGTCCTTCCCGCACTTCTTCCTCTCCAACCGGACGCCGGCGTCGCGTCTGCCGTCGGACGACAAGTACCCCATCGCCGGGCGCGCGCTGGGCCTGGCGACGCTCAACGTCACGAGCTTTGGCGTCCTGCTTGTCGGCGGCATCAGCTGGGCGTTTGACCTGTGCAGCGTCACGGAGCTGAGGAACAGGACGCAGATGAGGCTGCAGAAGGGCAGGCAAGTGGCCAGGGCCGGTATGGCGGAGGAGGAGAAGATGGTCGAGGACAAGGTGGAGGAGGAGATGGAGAAGCTGCTTGGGCAGTGGTACGACAAGTTTGGGATCCAGAGGCCAGGCGCCGAGGATGGCAAGACGGCAGACGAGGAGAAGAAGGATGCCTAGGGAAGTAAATGGGCTCCGGTGCTCCACATGTATAACAAGCGATGTTTACGATTTTTGTATCCTAGCCATCACGGCCAAGTCACAGTTTTCGCTTCGCCAGTGGATGAATGTAACACGACTTTCCAAGTACAATCGGACATCTCCCGAACAAGCACATATGTACGCCCTCGCTCCCAATGGTATGTATGTACACGATGCACGCGCCTCGCCAATGATATAGTCAGCCCGCCCGCCCGCCCGCCCGATGCAAAGAACGCCAGATCCAACGCCCTAAGCCATGCCCAGCCAGTCAGTCAAATGTGGAATCCGTGTCATGATCTCACGCCTTGCTCTCCCACGGTCCTTTCCCCTCCCTGTCTTTGATGTCGGGCGGCTCCATGCCCTCCAGACTTGCGCGCCGGCCCCAGTTCCGGGGCTGTCTCTTGAGAAACGCGCCAACGGAGCCCAGATAGCCTTCATGCCGTAGAAAGTACGCCTGCTTGGAGCCCTGACTCCAGAATTTGATCGCGTAGCTCAGCGTGTTCATTGTCTGACGATGGCCCCTGATGAAGGACCCGCCAAAGTAGATGTCGGACAGGTTGTGGATCTGCGACTGTAGATAGGCGATTTGCCCAATATTGTTGGATATGGCGTACAGCAGCGACCGCGAGATATCTGGGCTGGAGAACGGTGCGTTGGAGTGCGCTTCAGACCTGGACCTGTTGTCCTCGTCGTCGGGATGCTCCGAGTGGTCGGAGCAGATGGAGCCCATGTCCTCCGTCATGGCCTCAGCCTCGCGCTTCATGCGAAAGACCTTGCCAAAGGAGGAGGCAATGGTCGTGCTCTTGAGGCCAATTTTGCCATAGTCGGTGCCGTAGATGTCGCCGACGAGCATGTCCACATTTGCATTGTCGCCGTGCTCGGCCTGCGAGAGCATGTCGTCGAAGCTGCGCGCCCCGGTCAGCAGCGACAGCAGCCCCCACAGGGTGCCACCGCCGAGGGACGTGCCCCCGACGCGCTGGTACGAGCGCGGGCCCGTCACCTTGAGCATGGACACGCCGGAACCAATGTTGACCAGCAGGTAGGGGTATATGTTGTCGTGGGGGTCGACAAAGTGCATCGGCTCCGTGTCCGAGTAGGTGAAGACTTCGCGGGGGATCTCGGTGATGAAAAAGTCGAGGCCGATGATGAGGCACTCCATCTCGTCCTCGCGCAGGACATCGATACCGAGGGCATCGCGGATCATGTCGTAGAACTTGTAGGCGCCGCCACCGGTGGCCATGACGCAGAGCTCGCCGGGCGCGGAGCCGTTGAGGGCGAGCTGCTTGTCGCGCAGGTGGCGCATGAACTCAACGCAGTCGGCTATCCGGTCGGTCTCAAAGTTCTGGAAGTTGAGGCGGCCGCCTGGGTCGGTCGAGTCGACCTCGCGGGAGAAGTAGACGAGTTTGATGAGGGAGCCTCCAATCTAAGCGCGCACTATTAGCCACGAACCGAGGAGGACGTGATGGTCTGGGAGGTAAGTACATCGACAGCAATGTGGCTGACAACGGCAGTGTGGTTCGGCAGTCGAATGTCGCTCGTCTCGGGGCTATGTCGCCCGTTGATGTATCCATTGGCAGTGCTGATGGTGGGCGCAGGGGTCGAGGTGTCCGGGTCGACGATGAAGGCGCCCTTGACGTTGATCTTGACACTGCCGGGGCGGGTAATGGTGTTGTCAATCTCCTCTGTGGAGGTCATTGTCCTCGGCCTGCGACGCACGGGTCGTTCTTGGGACGTGTCCATGATGGCCAGCTCGTTGTCGGCCGAGGGGGTCATGGTATTCTGTCTCGGAGGGGTGCCACCAGGCTGCGGGGTGGTAGCTTGCCGGAGGACAAGACGTGAGCTCGGGGGTTGCACGACGTGGGCGAGCGAACCATCAGAGAGTCCAGGCGAGGGTCGGATGGAATTGAAGTTGATTGGAGTATGATGTAGCACAGAAGCCAGATTTATTGCTGAGAGATCGGGTGGTTGATAATCATGGTCACCCCAGGCTGGAGCCGGACCGGGAGGGACTGATGGGAGAATGAATAGCTGGAGCCCCTCCTGCCCTCCTGATGGTGAGCCCTGTGCTCCTTCCCGCCGACGATACCAGCCGGCCCAGTCCGTGCTTGGAATTGGCTCCTTATCGATAAGGTCCACTTTTACACCGAGGCACCTCGGGCGGTCGGATGTTTTCCATTCGGCGACATCATGGTCATCACATCATCAATTGGCGTCCGTTCCATTGCTCCGGCTAATGAAAGACAAAGGCTTGGCAGATGAAATAGAGACCCGGGTCATTGGTAAAGCTACGTAATCAGCTATCAACTATCTATCAACTATCAAAACAGCTTCGGCCCAGGCACAAGCACAAACACCAGAGTCAACAGGCCACCGCCCAGTGCCCCCGACAGCAACGCCTGCACAAAGATGGTATCCTGGATCTGTCGCAGCGCCGGCTCCTGGACCCAGATCTCGCGGTCAAAAATCTTCCTCACCACGTTCCTCTTCTGGTACTTGACCACCCACGGCTCGTCCTCGTAGCTGTTGCTGGACCCAAACGATTCAAAGCTCTCCTTGGACAGCTTCTCCTCCTCCTCCGCCATGGACGCGTCATCCTGCTCAAACAGCTCCCACGGACGAATGTGCCGGTGGTGCAGCCCGTGCAGGACGACACACATGCCCTTCCACGCCGCCACGAGGGTGCTGATGCCTAGGACCCAGGCCAGGGCCGCAAAGGCCCTGTAGCCGCGCCCGAGGCTGCTCAGCGTCAGCACGACGGCCATGGCGAAGCCCGCCACGATGAGGAACAGGCCCAGCCCGCGGGCAAAGGTGACGCGCGCCGGGTTGCCGTTGCAGATGCTCCAGCGGACAAAGTTGGGGTGCGACTGGCCGCGGAGGCTGCTCTCCACGCTCTTGACCAGGTCGCGCAGGGCGGTCGGGTGCGTCGTCTGCGACAGGGCCTGCACCGTCGCCTTTTGCTCCCACGACGAGAGGTTGAGCTGCCGCGGGCTGCTGTACATGATGTACGTCGCGATCACGCGGTTGATCTCGTCGCGGAACGGCTGGATGGTAAAGGGCTGCGTCGCGCCGGCGGAGTGGAACGCATCCGAGGCCTGCGCCTTGTAGTCGGTCGTGCCGCTGCTCGAGGGCGCGTAGCACGTCGTCTGCTCCGAGTGCCTGCTATCGGGTGGCGTGCGGAGGGGCTGGTGGTCCGCCACGTGGAGGTGAGACGGGGGCGAGAAGGCCTCGCCCGCCTGCTTGTCAAAGTCGCTGCCCTTGAAGATTTGCTGGGCGACGTCGACCTCGGGGCGCCGCTTGTCGGCTGTGCCCTTGCGGATCTTGGCGACCGTGTCCTCGTGCATGGCGAGTGTCCATTCCGGGGCGAGCGCCTTCTCGCTCGCGGGGATGGCCTCGAAGCGGCGGCAGTAGTCCTTGTACCAGAGGAAGAACTGGAGGTTCTCGGCCGAGTGCTCAATGTACACGAGGTAGTTCATAAAGTCGCGAAGCGTCATGGGCTGCCGCGCGCGCACCCGTCAGTCGTGCGTTTACTTTTCTGGGGGACATCCCTTGCCAGGGACGGACTAGGGTGCTGGTACGAACCGGACAAGTGCCACCGTTCATGATACGGTCGAAGGTGAGGGAGTCGGGGATGCCGGACTGGCCGGACTGGCCAGAACGGACGGAGACATCACTGCGAGGCGAGATCTCCTTGTCGCTGCCGCCATCGTCGGTCGTAGCTATGCTGACCCCGCTGAAAGATTCTTGAGGGACGTACTTGGGGCGCGTATATGTGAGTGGGAGGAGACCCATGGTGAAGGCTAGGTACTGCGTATGAGAAGATGGCTGTACAAGTGTGGGTTGGCGATGCCTTCACGTAGTCTAGGGGACGCCCTACAGTCTATATACGTCGGGTGCGTGCAACAAGGCATAAGGACTACGGATGGGACCATGGAACCATGAGCCCGGCGCTCAGGCTCCAGTGCCTAAGCGCACTGTCAGGCAGACCGGCCACGGCAGAGTCAGACTAAAGCAGGCGCCACTCGTCTTGTCAAAGGTAGGGACGAGGTGTGCGGCGCAGGGTTTTCTCCCCACGCCGAGGGGATACCGAGGCGAGAGGCCCTCTGAAGCCCGTGTTCTCCATGTACACGTAGGCAAGCACCGAGATTGGCTGTTTCGTGGCGCTGGGCCTTTGGCCAGTGGCAGGCTCCGTGTGGTGTACTCAATCTCAAGACGTGCCTATCCGACTTGGCACAATCTGGTACCCGGCCGGCTTGCAAGTTGATCGATCCTCGATAAGTTATAACTGACAGCCTTGATGGAGTCATGTGACGCATGGCAGTCTCCATATGCGCTGTCCACTATACTACGAGCTCCAGTCTGCTTGTCTTCGTCCCCTCTTCCTGGAATGCTCTTCTCTCTGTCTGCGGACACAATGCCTTCGTTCCCCTCTGCAACCACGCGATGCAACTCTCACGGTACAAGCGTCGAGCGCCAACCAAAGCCACCCCCTGCCACTCAGACATCGCAAGCAAGGGCGGCGTGTGACTGGACATGTGGATCCGGCACTACGCTTGACTCGAGGGTCAGCTCGTGGTTGATGGTTGCTCAGCCACAGACAGAGAGCTAAGCGTCGTGGAGTTGTTCGTGGGTGAAGAGATTTCGCGCTATCGTACGTACTAATAGTGGTTCACCGATCCGTCAGATGACACTATTGAAGCTTGTCTTGACTCTAGATGATGTTTCTGTATGGACTACGTACAAAACTTGCTCCCTCATCTCCGCATCTCCGCGAACAAAAATGGTACCATCACTTACGCGCATTGATGAATCTAGACAGGATTGCAATTCATGCTCGCGATGTCCTAGCATGAAGCAAGCATCCAAATCAACATAGCTGTGCACTCAGACCCACTCTACCTCGGCGGCTGGCCCTTTGCATCGATAGCTCGACGCAAGGACCCAGGACTCATCACCATGCATGGGCGCTGGTTCGGGATAATATGTGACGGGCAAATCCGCTGGGATTTGGGCGATCGGGGCGATCCGAGAGCAGCATTTCCAAGTTCTCATTGATTCATTAATAGGCTTTCGCAGCTGCATCAACCTATCACATGCGTCCCCAGCCTCTTGTCTCTGCCGCTGAGGCGCGACACTTGACCTTATGAGTTGCTTTTCTTGTGCTCGGTGACGCCGTCGTGGCTGTCCACGTCGGGGATCGCCTTGCCAAAGCAGATCACTTCCTGTCTGTTTGTTTCTTCGTCAGCGCAGGTCCATTGCCGACGTCTCAATCAAGTTCGTCCCCGTGGCGGATCGACCTACCCTGCAAACACCTTGATCCCGCGACTGGTGTCCATAAAATGCTTGCAGTCCTCGGACAACTGACATAAACTCGGCGCCGCAAAGAAATTTTCGGCATCTTCCCAGTTGGCGAACCACATGGTCGAGCAGGCGTCGTAGTCGAGTGGCGACATGCCCAGCGCGATGGCCTTGCCCTTCGTGGACGGGGATTGGTATTGCTGCGTGCATGCGCTCATCAGCCTTTGATCGACAGACCAATTCCTTCGTCCCAAGGCTCAACCAACCTGTGTGTAGCGTCGCACGTTGAACGCACCAAATGCCTCGGCTGCCACGGTCATGTCGGCATGGACGTGCGCGCAGTGCTTGGAAAAGTGCTGCCACGACACGTCAGCGAGCTTGGAGAAGAAGAACTGGATCTTGATGGCGGCTGGACAGAAGGTCACATCAGTCAACGAATTCAAGTCTCATCAGACTGCCTCGGGGAAGGAAGAGCGGCTCACGCTGAAAGAGGGTTCCAGGGGCGTCATAGTCGAACTGCGGAAAGTTGAAGGTGTGGTCGATGCGCTCGTGGCCTGTTCTGCGGTCGCCGGACGCCATGTTTGCCGTGTTTTTGCTTGATTCGAAACGATGGAACGAGATAGACCAGTGTCCGACTGGAATCACGTTGACTACATGTACCAGACATGTACGTGACGTCTCGGGGGTCCAACAAGGGGCTGATACTGGGTGACTTTAGCCGACGGTCCCCTGTTTTGCCACACTGAGAAGAGGAGAAGAGGAGACGAGGACGATCACGGTCAGATTGTCCCTTGAGCTGAGCTTACGAATGATCTTGGCTTCTGATGTTGGCGCATCGAGAGCCGGTCTTGCTGCATGTATCACGACGCTACATCACCTGACAGGAGCAGAGCACGCGCCAGTGGGAGGATTTGAAGAAGCTATGTTCATCTCCAAGCTATGCTACTGCTATGTGTGGAACTTGACGACCTGCCTGTACTTGGACTTGCCGGCCTGCATGTCCTCGACCATCTGTGGCAACTCCTCGAGCTTCCTAAACTCGACCTGCGGCTGGATCTTGTGCTTGGCCGTGAACGAGACGGCCTTGGGCATCCTCTGCGGGATGCTGGTGCTGTCCGCCTTGATCCGGTACCGACCCGTGGTGAGGTCAAAGGTGGACACCTGGAGGTCCTTTGCCGCGATGCCAATGACCATGAGCAGGCCGTTGGTGCGCAGCAGCTCAATGGCGGACGCGTAGGCGGCGTTGGCGCCCGAGAAGACGGCCGCCGCGTGCGCGCCTTTGCCCGTGATCCGCTTGACCTCGTCGGCCGCCTGGGCGTTTGTCCGCGAGTTGACGACGGCGTCGGCGCCCAGCGCGGTCACGGCCTGGAGGACGTCGTCGCTAATGTCGACGCCGACGACTTTGAGTCCCATGGCCTTGGCGTACTGCGTGGCGTACTGGCCTAGGCCACCGCAGCCGACGACGGCGAGCCACTCGCCCGGCTTCAGCTCACAGCTGTCGACGGCGTGGTAGGCGGTGACGCCGGCGCAGAAGAGGGGCGCGCTGCGGTCCATGTCCAGCTCGGGCGGCACGATGACGGCGTTGCGGTAGTCGACGATGCAGTACTCCTGAAAGTAGCCGTCGGCCACGAAACCCTGGAGGATGGGCTGCTGCCTCTCGCACCGCAGGTTGTGCACCAGGCAGCCATCGCACTCGAAGCAGCAGCCGATAAAGTAGTCCCAGCCGATCTGGTCGCCGACCTTGAAGCCCTTGCCCTCGGCGGACGGGTGGATCTTGGCAATGTAGCCGACGCCCTCGTGGCCGATGGTGGTGGACCCCTCGGGACGAAGCTCGAGGTGGAGATCAGAGTGGCAGAGGGACGCCGCATGCGTCTTGACGAGGAACTGGTTCTCTGCCGGCTCCGGAATGGGAATGTCCTTTATGACAATCTTTTTTTGTGCCTAAGGGGGAGCTGTGAGCAGCGCGTTAGGCGCTTGTGGGTGGGTGGATGGGTGTCACTTACAGTGTCGTATTGGCCGGCCTTCATCTTGAGTGATGTGATTTGGGTGGGCTTGCTATGATTCGTGATTTTGATAGCACTATCAGGGTTCCCAGAGTTGATGCTGTATAGTATGTAGAAGAATCAACCATCACGTATAAAAGCTCCGACCCCTCAAACTCGGCCCACGCTTCCACGCGGGAACTCCTCGGCCACACTGGGTCCCTCTCTGCTTTGACGACGTAGTGTCAGAAATCAAATCTCCCAAGAGCCACTACAGCTTCACAAGCTCTCCGGTAGCTCAAGCCTTGCAATGGGGGCCAGGCCAAAGGGGGCGATCGTGGGTGAGTAGATCCGGGGTAGGGCTTGGGGAAGTGCGGGGGGGGGGGGGGGGGGGGGGGGGGGGGGGGGGGGGGGGTGGGGTGGGCAATAGGAAACCCCCAACCCACGCGCGAATACGGAAAA